GATCTCTAACCACCGTATGGAGGAGAATCACAATTTTAAATGGGATAAGAGAAGAATGTAATACCATAGATATTTTTATAGCGATATTTTAATATTATCGCAACATTGAAAATGACTCGAGCGAAGTCGAAACGTTTGTTTTGTCGTTTTGTAGTTTATGATTGAATTTTAATTAAAGCTTGTTACTATATTACTGGCTCTTTGCCCTTCTTTTGCATATATTGTATTATATATTTAGTTGTAAGATTAGAAATATAAGCATCTTCGGAAAGTCGTTTTACTGTAACAACGCGTATTTAACTGAATTTTAGTTGATTTAAATACATTGAAAACTTGATAGTTTTTAAAAAAGAATTGCATGGCAATTAAAAAGATTTTTGTAGCTATTTTTTATTATATTCTTTATTTGACTTTGTTTGACTTGATTTCAAGTATAATTTTTATAATATCGGTAAATCGACTTCTCTACAGAGTATTCTGATTAATGTAATGTTATTTAATGTTTAAGTCATAAATCGCGATTATATTTTTTGTCACTTATTAATAAGAGGAAGGTTAGGTTTACTACGTTTTTTAAATAGGCGGTTGTATCTATTTTATATTGCGTTTAAACATGTTAACTGTTTCGTTTTGTTCGCGGATAATAGCAAAGAAATTCTTGAGTAAGTGCTAGTTTTTACATAGAGGCTCGTTCAGCTGGTTTTTATAATAAAAGACAATATGCGATTTAATAATATATAATTACACGCGCGATGAAAGTTGTGATTGAAATATATGAAAAATTTTGTCCCGAAGTCGGTAAGTATATATAGTATGTTAAAAAAAACTCTTATTTAATCTCTACTAAACTGTAAAAGCCGTGCGTAGATTAGTCGGGTATGTGCATAGACTTTATTAGTATTTTTTATGCCTGTATCTCTCGATGTTATTCTGTGAATAGATTTCCATAATATTGTGTCATACGAATTCTCTATATAAAGAAAGCGTAACTCCGAGTAATGTTGTAGATTTTGATAGTTTGTGATTTAATCTTCTAATTTATAATTGGGGCAATGTGTTATACTAGACAGTTGAAACGCTTTCTTAGCTCTATAATTTTCTGATCTATCTTTCAAGCGAAAAATCTTATTAATTCTGTTTCTTCACTTGCGGAGTTTAGATTTAACAGATTTCTTTTTTTAACATGAGTTTAGCATAATTAGGAGATTTAAAATATTTTAACAAATTGAATGAGATTATACATATTTTATTATATGTGGCAGTTAACTTAAAAAAATATATATGTAATGATTTTAATTTCTTCATCATCCAACATTAGACAATATCTATGTATTGTAAAACTTTCGACTGTGTATAATATTGTATAATATTTTCTGGTAATTTTTTGCGAATATAAAAATAACGTTGTCGAGAGATCTACTTACTAACAATTTCAGATATACAAGTTTTCTTTATTTTGCGTACATCTGTATCTGCTTTCGGTTAGCGATATCGAAATGCGCTTTCCGGGTGCATTATTCAGCCGGTTTTTTTAATCCGTTAGATATCAGGTGATTTATGCGCACTTTTCCATTGTAAATCCTCGTAATCTCGGAAAATTTTTAAATCATAATTAGGGATAAAAAAAGAGCTTTTTTGAAAATATAGTCGATAATGGGATAATTTGGAAAAATACATAAATCTTACTTCATGCCGACTAGATTTTTGGAAAGAATAACTCTTTTTACTTCCAAGTACTAATTATGGCCTAAAAATTTTAAACCCAAGTTGTACAGATTTACATAAAACGGAAAAGTGCAAAGAGGTCTCCTGGGACTTAATGTGTTAGTTTATTTAATATATAGATTTCGATTTTGATATTATATACGTGGCTATATGATGATGAATGCTGGCATGGTACATGAAAGCGAAATAGAAGCGTTTAAATGTCCGACAAGGCTAACCAAGGACAGCACAACTATACACGATTGGATGTTGCAGGTGGAATCGCGTCGCCGAGACACTACGGAGGAGTGAGTAAGGAACCTCTTCTTTCACCTAGTCATTCACACTCTGCTTGCTCGGCAACACCTACCCATAATCAACACAACGCCACCAATACACAACACTTTACGAGTCAACAACATACCTCTATGTTATACCAACACACCAACGCCAACACTATCAACACGGCAGATATGCAGAACAATCAGTTCTGTTACGATCGGTCGTCAGTACCGCTCTATCCGTCTGGCGGGGAAGCGCAAGATGCCAGGTCACTGCCTTCCGCTAATAACGTCAATCACCAAATCGGTGAGCAGACATTAGAATATTTAATGTCATGTGACTATTTCTTATTTTTTTTCTTCAATCGCAAAGTGCAATTTATACAACCACGAGCGTCACCTTCACCAAATTCATTAAAACATAAATCTCGATCATTTGTTCGCATCTTTAAAAGTTATTATAACGAGAATCATTATAATCTACCATAATCCTTACCAGCAGCAGCAGCATAGTACATTTTAGTGGATGTAAAGCATGTATTGGCTGTGTGGAAACATGTAAATCTCTTCTTCTCTATCTTTTCCTTTTTCATTTTTTTTAATAGTTCATTCATCGAGATATTTACGATTATGTAAGTATATCGGATATTACTCCATCTTTTCATTATTCGATATGCTTCAAAAATACTTTTTAATATGCTTTATAATATAGTGAAAGAGCTAGTTACTTTGTATATTGTTCTATATACTCGTATATAGTCTACTTTGTATATTGTTTGAGATAAGAAAAAGGAATACTTGAAATTCTATCGTCAAAGATTAATGTTAGTAGTTAATTGATTCTGCTTTTTATATCAGATTTCTAAAGTTGAAAAAATCTAAATTTAAATTTAATTTTACAAATGTAATTATATATATAATTTTTATTTTTCTATAATTGTAGAATATCATGTAGATAGAATGTATAATAGATATGTGTATAATATTGTAGGTATAATAGATATGTAAGTTACGTAATTTAATATTATTTAATATTTTTTTTAAATAATATTAAATAGTTTTTCTAAATCCAAAGTCTTTCATAGTGTACATTTGTTAGATATTATTGTTAAAAATATATTTTATTACTTATTTGCGGGAATTATTTTTATGTGTTGAATGTTGCATGACGCTTTTTTTAAACGTAATTCCATTAAGTGTAACTATTATTATAATGCTGAAATGTAAATAAGCTGATAATAATTTATTATTTATGTTGCTATTTCGCAGATAAATGATCTAAGTCAATGTACACTGTGATATGTGAAAATAACAAAATACTTTAAAAGGCTGTAATTACATTATGATCATAGAACATTCTTTGTTGTATTAAATTGATTAATATCATTAATTTGTTAATTACTGTTGTACTGTTACATTAAGTTCAGTTCTTATTTTTTTAATTGTAGATCCTCATAGTATTAGAAGAACTAACAAGGGAACACAACCAAGTGCTTTTAGTATATTGGTCTATGGACAAAAATAAGAATATTTTTGGAAATTTTTGCAAATTTTTTTCTATCTCTTACAGATTTGACGATCTGATTATTCAATCTGAAAGAAAAAAAATCGATTTTTTTCAAGGAAGGATATAACTCCCTTAATGTGCGACTCAGCACGTATAAAAAATACATGTCTCCTATTTTTGTTCATAGAATAACATACTAAAAGCTCATTTAAACTGGAAAGATTCACTTGGTTCCCTTGTAAGTTAACGTTTTTGTAATTATTATAGGAATTTTTTGGATCTTTATGGAGTTTCATTTTGCTTTTCAGGTTACATGTCTTAAAGTACAAAAAATTAAAACAAACTTCTAATTTTGAAATTATGTTATAAAAAGTCGAAAAAACATGTGACTGATGGAAATCAAAATGAACAGTTCAAGTTGACAAATGCAGGGATGAGAAAGTTACTTTATAAAAGTAATTAATTATAGTTAGTTTTTTCTCTCCGACAGCCTCTAGATATCGTTTTACTTTTGTTTTTTTCTTAAACAAGAATGATACATAGGGTCATTTGAGTAACGCAGTTAGAACAATTAAAGAAAAAGACTTTGGAAAAAACTGAAGAAAAACTCAATGATTAATTAGGTGCATTTAATACTACAATCGTTCACTGAGCGGTCTTATATTTGATTGGCGTATTTTATTAGATCCAAAAATATAAACTAAATAGTACAAAAGTTTATTAAGCGCTTTAATTAGATTTCTTTTTCTGGTTGTAATCAATCAAATGTTTCAAAGCATTTGTAGCGCCAAGTGGATACTACCGCACACTAAATTGACAAATAAGTTTGAAATATATAAAATAACTATAAAAGTAATTATTAAATTAGTCACTAGTTACTCAAAAGATGTAATTTAAGTTATAGTTACAAATGGAACAAAAATAACGAAATTAAGTTACAATTACTGAAAAAGTAAAACTCTAACTGTGTTATAAATAACGAGTTAACGTAAATGTGATTGGGATAGTGTAAGTAACTTGGGAGAGCATGTATTTTTGTTAAATTTAATGGTAGTATTTCTAAAGAAAGTTTAAAATTTAAACTTTCTTTAATGACTCATGGATGGATTCCATGATTAAATTTATCTATACTGTCCCAAGTCACCTACATTTGCGGTACTTCCCATCCCTGACAAATTGTGATTCCATAATAATATAGAAGATTTTAATTGTCTAACTTCCTGTGTTTATGAGATCACTTTATCTGCATTTTTTCTCTTGCTTTACCTTGTCTCTTGTTTGCTTATACTCGCGTGATTTCAAGTTAGACAATTCTAACGTAGAAAGTAGCTTATTTAATTAAAACAAAATTTGTATGTCCTAAAATAGATTTAGTTATACTTGTATCATATATATTACTGCACACTATGTAAAATCCAAGCATTTATATTGTAGTTCATATACGTAATTTGGTATCATTACCTGCACCATATACGAATATATTATAATTAGGGCGACATTACGATATTATATCATCTAATTGTATATTATTCATCTAATTGTAAATCATGTAACGATAACGGTACCATTTCGTCTATCTTGTGATTTTGTGCCAAAATTTTAAATATATGACATTTTGAGCGTTTTATGAGCGTTATTACTCATAGAAGAATTTATTGTTTACTTTGTAATTCAAAAAACATTTTTTGAGAAACAAATTTTTTTTACTTTTGTTTTATTATTCATTATGTTATTATTCATTATGTTATTCCTTTTTAATTCCTTGATTAGATAAAATCATTGTTTTAACGGCGTTAAAACGTTGAGTTAGCTTATTATGATTATTGGGAAAGTAACTCAACGTTATGAATATCGTTACTATTTAAAACTATGGTACACAAAAAAATATAAACAATAAGACGTGAGCCAGTAAGCGAATTAACCTTTTGGATTTGGTACTGCTTATATTGTTACTTTATGTCTCTACTTTGATTGACCGATTCGCTTACTACTTACGTACGTCTTACTGTCTTACATTTTTTTATGTATCATAGCATTTAGTTTAACTTTATTTGTGCATAACTGCAGACATCTTTGTGTTGATAATATCAAAGATGTCAACAGAATTGTATTATATTATACCATATTATAATTATATATCGCGATAGAAATTAAGAAATGTATAATCGAATTCCCTTACAGCGAATTTGGTTGGCAATGCGCATTAGTGCAAATTAAGGCCGTCGTACACAAATCGATATAAAAATGTGCGTTCATTATACCGCGAGTATATTAAACCGCGAAATCCCTAGTACATTTCATTGTGCTATTTGGTAAATTATTAGTGAACTATTTAATCTTTCGAGATGATTGCATTACACTTTTACATTTAGATTAGATCAGTATGCAACGACTTTTATATGCACCAGTGCACACTAGTACGTCTAACCGAATTCGTTAATTTCAACTCACTGGGATTAAGCAAATTCTCTGCTCTCAATTTTCCTTTCTGTTTTCATATTCCAATATGCGTAGAATGAAAATGGATTTGTTCAGCATAGTGAATCATTAAGTTGCTCTAATAACCGAAGCTAATTTACGGAGATCCTAAAATCGTCTGTTTTACCGATTAAACGCAATAATTTTCATAGAACGGTATTGCATTATTATATATTAATTTTATTATTATTTGGCAATTCTTCAAAATTAAAATGTAGCACTAATACGTGCCTGTAACGTGAATTTATGTTGAAACAAAAAATTTTAAACTTAAGACTTTTTTTTACAATTTTTTGATCTCAAATAATGTCTAGAGCTGTTAAGTCAAAACAACATTTATTTAATATAAAAATTCTGCAAGCTGTACTTACGAAATTAAAGCTTACAAACTAGTGAAGAAACAACATCGAGTTCTTGGAATTTGACTTAGACATTTAATTCTATATGATATCGTTCTATCAAAATGTATGTATATATGTGCGTGCGATATTGATGTATAATGTAAAGATAATGTGTGTAATGTGTTGATATATCATATCGGTAAAACAGCGAGCGATGCTATTGTTTAGTTAAGGATTACCCTTTAAAGGTAAGGTTACTGCTACTGTACAATTAGAGTTTCGGCTGACTGACACTGCAGCCATGTTCTATGCGTGTCTCCTAATCTCATTTGCCATTTTCATTTTATGTATGAGTGGTAAATGCGAAATAATGGGAGAACATCATAAGAGAAGTATGTTAGTTTCGATAGCGAAGATGGAGGAAGATCAGGATTAAAATAGTTCGACTGTACACATTTTCATGGTATACAAAATAGTTATCATGATTAAAAATATCATAGCATAAGCTTGCATTAAAATTTTAAGAATGTTACTAATAAGGTATTTCCAGAAAATGGAATATTTCATATGAAAAACAATATTCTGCTTCGCGTAAGCGTGGTAAAGTGCTGAAAGTGGCAAATGTGACATTGGATTTATTATGTCTTAATCATTCTCTCATCTCTCGGGAAGGGGGGGATCACACATCTTGTGTTCATCTATGTAATATAACATCACAATGTAAAAAGATAAATTCAGACACCGCTTATCTTTACGTGCTGTGGAAACATTTACTAACAATGAAGCCTCTTTGTGTACAGTGCATCGAGCTTTCGTGATTAATATTTTTATATATTTTGCGCATTTTTTTTCTATCAATCCCATCATTTTGTCATCGTATGCATCACTTATTTTATAAAAAATTGAAATTTCGTAATAAGCAAATGGATAAAATAGCTCGGACACTTGTCGTGTACTTTCTCTTGACAGATCAATAACATTTTTTAAGTTCTTTAATTATATGAAAGAATATAAAACTTTTTAATCTTTAATTTATCATATGAGGATATCTAAAAAATTTGAAAGTTTTAAGTAAGATTGGAATACGGAACTTTTGGCATCTTCTTTAGACTGTTTATTTTATGACTTACGGTTGGGACATTTGTTTTACTTCTTTAAAGCCTTGTGTTCATGATACTAGAAATCGATCCGACGATTTTGGACGGAAAAAGAATTCACAAATCACATTTTTTCACATAATCAATGCGATTGGTCAATTCTTTCTTTATCCAAAATTTCGAACCTAAAGCTTTATACACAAACGATTTCTAGACTCTTCTTTTAAAACTGCCTAATGTCTTTTACGTGTTTTTTCTCAGAAAGTTTCTTTTCAATGCCATTTTAAACCTGAGAACAAAAGGAATCCATATGATGTGTATTACCTGAGGAAGGATGATAACTTTCACATCTCTTTACTAAAAAGAATGTGAAAAAGTCACTATCTCCATCTTTAGATAGTATACTATCTTCACTATTTTGTAATAAAAATTGCTAATAGAATCTCTCTTATATGAAGTATCTAGAAATTAATGAAAAATGTCATAATATTTACACTTTTTATTTTTCTATTTAAAATTCGGAAGGTTTAAAAATGACATTTTTTACGAAAAAAACGGAAACTATGCATTAAGTCTAAAAGAAAAATAAATAGAAGAAAACTAGAACGATGCTAATTTTTTTCTATTTATTGGCTGTAAAATTTTTTAATATTTGAGAATTATTTCTTATCAGTGATTATTTTTTACCATGTATGTGACATAATTTACAAGCTGTGTAACTATTCTTTATTGTTTGAATCCTTTGACAAGAAAGATGCACATACTTTTAAATTATCATTGTTTTCACTTTTTACATTTTTAAAACCTTGTGAAATACTGGAATTAATTACCAAAATATTTATTGGTGATTAACGTAGAGAGAAAGTACACGTATGAAGCATTTTTTATATCTTATTGTGAAAAACAGAATTATTGCTATTTTTAATTAAATTGGATTTATGCCAAGATGTATTTTAACTTTTATTTGTCAAAATATTGTTGCAGAACCTTTGTGGCATAAATGCAGTATTCTGCATTATAAATGCGGACATAATAAATTGAAACTATACATGCACCCACATGTACACGAATAACGCACCAATTGGAAAATGAAAACTGTGACGTATAAAGGAAATACGGCACACGTTACGGGAACGTATTTTTTTTTTTCATAAAAATTATTCTTGTTATAGGTAACGCCAGCACTTCGGAATTTGTGCGGCAAGAATTAAGGGCGATTGTTGGCGCGCGAACGCAACAGCAACAGCAGCAGCAGCAGCAACAGAGAGTGCCCAACAATCTACAGAATAATCTTTCTGGTCAAGTTTCTCAGGACGATCTTGAAGCACTTGGTCTGACATTCGAGATGCCTTCTGCAGGTATGTGCACTGGGTTGTAGAATCTTCGTTTGTTGCTTTCCGAACTTCGAATTTCGAAATCACATAGAGACGGTTACTCGGTAAATGATCAGCTACAAGTATGCTCACACGGCAAAACTGGGGATGTCACAAGGGGTCTGTCACAACTGTTCGAAACTGTTAGGAACGATTCGATTCTTTTTCTCTTTATTATAACAGGTCTCTTATCAGTAAAACTACGTTTTCTTATAATATTAATTTCTTTCTCTACTTTTTTTATTTTAACGCAATGATAATTGTGCATTGCTCAGAACTGGAATGCAGAGTAATTGAATCAAACAAAGAGTTTTACGCAACGTATATTTTTAGCACCACGCTTTTGATAGATCGGGTATATAAGTTAATATACGAGTATATTATATATAGGGTGCGTTCTGAGTTACGCATGAAACACATGATGTATTGTTTTATCTTTCTTTATTATTTGATGAACAACAAGGACAAATGATGCATCATGCGTTTCATGTGTAACTTGGAACGCACCTATAGACATAATTTTATTACTATCTGTAAGTTACGTATTTATTGAAGATAAAGTAAGTGTGAGGTATACATGAAATTATTTAATTTCAAAATGCAAGATTTTGTGATATGCTTTTAGCATACACGAATCAAAATCGATCGTACGAAGATGATTTGAATTTAATAAGTTTGATTTTTGTCTGCATTTCTATATAGAGAGGCATTGCTTTTCCTCCTTCAAATTTTCTCAGACTTTATTCATACAATTCCAATATTAACTACGGTCCCCACATATTAATTTTTCATACGACGTTTCATGAGCGAGTACTGTGAAAAAGTATTACAAGCATTATAGTTTCCCCTCGTAGATCACGCACATTTTTCTAGATTCGTCATCGCACGCGATTACTGTTACAACTAATTACACTGATTTACAATGCATCTCCTGAGGCCCCGTGTGTTTCTCTGTGAAATCTACATAAAAAAATTTCAAATATACATAACGAAAATCCAAGCTCTTCCAAGGTAGTTTCGAATGCAGAAAATGTTATGAGTATAATTTTACATTTTACATTATAATATTATAATACATTTAAAAAAAAAAAAGAAAGAAAAAGTATTGAATGTGGATTTCTCGTCGTGTTTGATTGGAGTGAACGTTAAGCTATTTGTATAATTTCTGAAATCATTTACGAGAGAGACAAAAGCGAGTCCTCGGTCGATCGAGATTCGTACGAATCTATATCGATGTACAGGCTGAAGCACGCGCGATCGTTATGCGTAATCTCCTGCTTCTTGTAAGAAGAGGCATAATACTTTAGTTCTACAAAGATTGTGGTAACGCCTACTGTTACGATGTCCTAACTAGGTGAGGCTGTGGTTAGCGATGGCCCCGCCAAGATCTGGGGGAGCGCCGGAAGTGCCCCCTCGTCCTCCAGGGTAAGAACCCCATTCCGACAATATATAATTACTTTTACGTATTTTTTAAATTTTGATTTTGTTATGCTATGTCTTCCCTCTATACGCTTGGCTTCAGAACTGATTGTGCACGAAACATGTTTAATGATCTCTCTCTATTTGCGCACTGAGCGTAAAACTTGTATGGGGTTACTTACTTTTTTAAATTTACATCGCTCTACAAATGCATGCGAAGTCGTCGTTCGACGATTATTGTCTCGGCATTGTCGTTACAGTACTCGCACGTGACGATAATTCTTTCGAATTTTCCGCAATAGCCATATAGTTGAAGATTCAACTCTTGTGTATGCTAAAGTAGAACCGTGCCCTGAAAATTATAGTTGATTGAAGAAGATTTGAGAGAGATAGCATTTATTTGATGAATTTCTACTCTTTTAAATTAGGGATTGGCTTTATAGTTGTAGAATTTTTTTATTCCTACTTCTTTTTCTTTTTACTACTATTTATTTCTACTTTATTTTTAGTTTAACCAAAAAGGGAAAATAAAAATAAGTCTTTAATTATTATTTTTCTATTTATATTTATATTTTTTAATTTTATTTCTTATATTTTTACACATAGTAAATATTATTATTATATAT